CTAGTTTCTGATGTCTACTATTTCCAGCATTACTGTTATTATCACAAAAATAAAGGTAATTTTTCTTCTTATTGTACACCTATCCATTTATTTCTTTGATTTAATTTCCACTTTGTTAGTGAAATTTGTTATATAAGTTTCACTGTTTTTTTTTGCTAGTATTTGTACAATTTTCAACACAGCAACTCCGGTTGCTTATTGTGTTGTTTTTACCTACTTTTTTGAAAAAAAGTAAAATGTATACGTGTATTTGATATGCCAAAATTACAAAATATCCCCCTAAAATGCACGAATTATCCGCAGCTAGCGCTAGTATCGCTTTTGCTTCCCTTTCCATGACTTCGCACGGAGCGAATACCCAACACATGAAATGTTTTCGAATGGAACTATATTTTTTTTAGGTTACTTAAGACTGAGCAGAATCGGATGGTATATATAGATTATTAAATTAACCCCTCCTGAGGGGTTAAAAATAAGGTTATTTTCAAGAGGCCCCACGGGCGAGGCGGCTTGAAAATTGCTTGTTTTTCTAGTTGTGTTCAAGTAAAACGTATAGCAGAGGCGTCTTGAAAGTAAAAAAAAAAGTTAAAATTAGGTATATGCGATAACCACATAGTAGGGATTAAGGAATAAAACGTGTTGGTTTTAAAATAACACAAAATTTTATTAAATAAATTAAATAGTCTAATACAAAACATAAAAAGGAATAAAAATATCATGACTAATAACAAAAATAAACACATTCTTTAAAAAATACAGATAAATTATTAATATTTAAATAACTACCTCTACATATTTTTAAACTGCAGCTGCCCCCGTCTTTAAACTTTCGTTTCTGTCAGCTTCTTGATTATTTCTGACACATTCATGATTCCTTTATCCTCTGCTGTGGGAAAAACATTTTACTTTACTATTCCTAAGAAAATGGTAAAAAAATGTGCTTTAATTTTCACGGGTTAATATTTTGGCCACATATTTTCCAGTGGTTCCATTTTCTGTTGCTATTTGAACAAAAATAAAGTCACTAACAGTCAAATCATGAGTAAAGTTAGCGTCTATAAAAACATTTAACGACTTTTTGGGATTTTCGTTTGTATTTTCCAAATCAGAGAATAATTGTCTATCAACGTCGCTATTAGTATCAATAGTCATCACTTCCATTTCTTTATCGCTATCTTAAGAAGAAGAATCGCGATGAACAATCGACTTCCTTCGTTTTTTAGAATTTTTAACTTTCATAGTTGGAGTTGGAACATTTAAAGTTGTTGGAATACTTTTTGGAGAAAAATCTTCCCGTGAGATGCTCTTTCCAGTTTCTATGTTCAATTTTTTTCTGTCTATAGATGAATCACGAGTTTTAAAGCGATATTTTTCAAACATTAATGTTAGGGATTTGGTCATATCGTCTACTTGTTGACGTCCGTCTACTTCTGTCTGGGGCAGTTTTTTAATATTTTTGTTCTATCGATAGGTTAAATGCTTGTAGCTACAAATTCAGACTTTAAGTTATTTTCATTATTTATATCAACTTTATTAATTGCCTGTTTCAAGAGCATTGGAAAGACATCTTTTCTCACAACTGCCGCATGCTTTTTCCAATGTCTTAAAATTTGTCTCCATGCGTTCTCGATAGGACGAAATACACTGACATCTAACGGTTGTGTCATATGTGTGATGTTGGGTGGGAGTAGGACGAAACGGATATCATTCTCTTGGCATTTGTCAATTACATTCATTGATACATGGCTTGCTAAATTATTTCTTACAAGAACCTTCGGACCTTGTGGTAAACTTCTGAAGTAGGGAAAAATTATATTTGTGAACCACGCTTCAAAAATATTAGCGTCAAACCAGCCAGACTTGCTGCGATTATATCTAGTATTTTCTGGTCCATTTTCAGTCCAAGTGGACCACTAATTTTTTTCCTTGTAAACTATATAAACTGGAAGTAATTGTCCTGCGGCTGAACATGCAACCATCACAGATGTTGCTACTTTCGAGGTATCCATGATTTTTTTTGCCCTTTTACATGTTTTTCGAACGATTACTCTAATTTGCCCAGGATCGTCAGTAAAGTTTGTTTCATCATAGTTCACAATGGCTTCTGAAAAATTGTCGAAAAATTTGTTGATAGTGTCTTGATTAACTTTAGCCCTGCTTTGTTTTATTGATGGAGATAATCTTGCTGACAGAGTTTTTTATGTCTTTTCAAGAATTTTGCCATCCAAGTTTCGCCTAGACTATTTTCTTTGAACTTGTTTATTATTTTACCAATTCTTTCGAGATAGTTTTGCACTAAATCTATAATTTCTTCACTATCACAAGGAAATCCCCACTCAGCTGCAATGGAAATACATTTAACCAGAGTTTCTTCCTCATTATTTGTAAGGGCTGTCTAACCACCAGTTGGTTTAGTATGGATGCCTTTTATTTTTCTGTACAATGTAGCGTACGGTATGTCATATTTTGTGACAATGGCTATCAGATTGCCTGGCACATACTCCGCCACAGCCAGTTCTAATTTTTCTTAGGTATAATCGCGATATTTTCTACTTCCGATCTTTCTTTGATATTTGCGTGCCATTTTCAAATCACCCCTAAAAAATAAAAATAAAAATAAATAAAATAAAATAAACTATTAGAAAAAAATACATTGAGTTTCTATTATTTACCCGAGTCTCTGTATGATAGAAAGTATATGAGTGACAAAATATTTGTATTTTCTTACCTCAAACTTGAGAATATTCAGTTCTTTAACAACAATGTTTACCGCACCTAATACCACCTGTTGTTTCTAAACAAATATTAGTGCAACTATTTATGACGTCCCGTAGTTGTAAGGTCAAACGTCGGTTGGCTGTAAGCAATAATCCAGGGGTGTTAAAATGGCCCCGTATATGCAAGTACTCTAAAATCTTACCGTTAGCCTTTAGTTTCAGTTTAGGCTCAGTCACTTTCTTATAACGATTTTCGTATTTAAAAATTGTTTGCTAACAGCAACACTATACAGCTCGCTTCAGGCATGCTAAAATTTTAAAATATCTCAGGGTATAAACAAAGTGTGCTTCGAGTTTGGCTCGGAGGCCAAACCCTAACCCAAAATGTTTAAAATAACCCAATTACACAATAATATTTCTCATTACAATGCATATAAAAAGTAATTCTTTTTAAATTTTATGGAAATTATTACATGATTTTTGTAGCTTATCTTTTGAAAATCAATCTACAGATAATATAAAAACTCTAGCACTAGAACATATAACATAAATAAAACTTTAAACACCACTAAATAACAATAACATTTTAGATTTTTTAAAAATCTAATGTTCGAACTCAAGTAGAATATTTTCTGTCAATTCACATTTTCATTTCTCCATCTTTACTCGAATACGTTTTCAAACCACATGAAATAATATATTTATCGTTTGAATATGATTTAAGTTTTTGATATATTTTCACAATACGGATTTAAGTCCCACGCAAATTAAAGATGGGCTTGATTCTACTTTAGGCGAGTCTGCTTCATAATTCTCAACGGTCACAACATGGGTTGTAGATTTAAAACGTGGCCGTACAAGCGCTAAGGATACAGAGCTTTTAGATAGGTAAAAATGGGCTACGACGGAGGATATGGTCTTGAAAGTCCATAAATCTGTTTAGAGTAAAGATAAAAAGAGCAAACATATTACATTTTATCAGAAATTTTGGACATAAAAAAATCCACAAGATGAGTGCTGTGTTTGCTCATATCGAAGCAATTACTCATTTGTATATTTAGAAGATTATTTGCTATATAAGCGCAGTGTAAGATACTTTTTAGGGAAATGTATAACTTCTGACGGGATATTACACACCACATTGTTAAACACCAGTCAAGACAATTTGACAGCAAAAAGCATACCAGTCCTACAGAAGGTGACCTACAAGATCTATATTTCTGTCTCAAAGGCGACAAAGAAGTATAATTTTCGACAACTAAACAACTAATTATGTGGCCACAGGGAAGTTTATTCTTGCTAAGACAGATACAGGCTTCTACATTTTTCTAGTTATAGTCACCCAGAAAAGTCATAACCTGTCTTAAAGAGATCTATTTAATTGTCGGTTCTTTTACTGTCCAACTCTCTATTATGGTAACTCTATTCTTTTCTGCACCCTGGCTCTATGACATTGAAAACTATACTTATTCAGTTTATATCATAGGATATGTCTTAGGTATGTAGACCTCCGGCCGTGGAGCTGATTATTTCGTTTTTTATCATTCTATAATATGTTGTCCTTGTTGCTACATTCCCTACAATTAAGTGTAGCAATGGAAGATGTAAAATCATAACCTTAGTGGCCGTCGTAAACCTTCTAATCTACGATTCCAAGATTTTAGGAAAATTAGAGGCAGTTTGTGAAAGTGGTGTATGGCGGAGAAGGTACGACTACAATAAAAACAAACATTTCTTATTTAAGAGACGTTGTATCTTTCATAAAGATAGAAAAGCTTAGACGTATACTTGTTTCACCACACCCTGGAAGTAGGTGCAGGAACAAGTACAAACTAAGAAAAAAGGATGTGAGAAATTTGGAGCTGTTAACCAGCAACAGTATAAAAGGTCGGGACCCGACTAAGGCCGTAGTGCATGGAAGAGTAAGAAACCTCATACCATGTATTATTTGAATGCGAAGCTCTTACTAGGTGACGTTTCACCCTTTTCGGCCTAGAACCGGAAAGAACGCCCCAGGAACACTTGTTAGGGAATTTATTAAAACTAACCAAAGACACAGAATTATTCCAAAGATAGTACTTGAATACGGTGCAAACAGGGGAATACAATAGATCCAAGAGGCCGCAGTGTTCTGGGCCAAACCTAACTCTACCTGCTTATAACCGACAAAAATAAAGATAAAGACAAAGATAAGGCCGTAGTACCAATAATGATGAATATGAACCAATTTTTTGTTTTAATTATCGTCCCGTAAACTAGCGTTTTAATTAATATTTTTCTTACCTTCGTTTTCCGGATTTTCTGAAGACTGCAAAGTTGTTTCCACTGTCTCAATACTAGGTTTAAACGGAAATACAACATCAACAGGTTCTTCAGGATGGTAACGATTTATATTAGACTTTACCCTTTTGCCTTGATTTTCTAAATCTTCGTTTAAATAATTTTTCTGCTTGTTCTTCATAACCAAATATCCTCTCGGCGATGGTATTTTCCTAATTACGTACAATTCTGGTCTATCAAATTTATTTAATTTCGTCTTTTTTCTATACGTCTTGGGCTGTCCAAGTTTTTTGGTAAAAATAATTTTAGGTTCAATTTCATTAAATTTATCAGTTTGGTCTGCTTGGTTTTGAATTTGCTCAGCATTGACACGTTCTTTACCTTTTGATTGATGAAAAATGCGAATAGTTTCTAGTTTAATCTCATCAGTTTGAGTCACTTGTTCTACCTGATCTGCTTGATTTTGGACTCGAAATGTGTTAACGCGTTGGCCATATTGTAGTTGGGGATAAATAAATTGGGGATATATTCCAATATTTTGAGGGGATATTTCAAGGTTTTCGGGTTTAACTTGATCCTGATTATTTTGGTCAGATTGTTCTTGAATTTCAATAAAATTAACGTCTTGTTTGACCCGTGCTTGAGGGAATATTCCAGCAGAATCGGGCACCATTGTAACATTATTAGTAAAAGTAACTTTTTTGTTTTCGTCTCTTTTGTCAGTTTCCTCAACTATATCATCAAAATCAGCTACCTCCTTGAAGTAAGTTCTGGGTGACTTTTCGCCTAAACTAAGTATTTTTGGTATTTGTCCTAGTATAATGCACACCACTATTAATCTTAAACAAAAAAAGTTCTTAATTTTAGCATGTTTCCATATTTAACTATACTCACAGTTTTAGACCATGCAAATGCATTGAAATTTAGCATTTAGCTGCATGGATACTTTCATTGCGTTGGGGACAATTCACATATAAAAATATTATCTTTAAATTGTAAAATCTTCTAATAAAACTGTCAAAATATTGTCAAATTCTTCGGTGGAAGCTCGAGTCAGTCAGTGGGTACTTGATGAACAATAATGTATAATTTAACCAATTACGTGATAGACGAAATTGGGAATTTGCTTCTTGCTCCATAAATATTAGACAAATCATATGAATTTATTTTGTTAAGGGTCCTTTTCTAAATGACATATCAGATGATGATGATCTTGCCCTCCGAGCAATTACTCTCGGAGTTCTTTCCGACTGCCTGGCTTTGTATCATTTGTATACTCCAAGCACATACTTTGATTACTATACGAGGCAAGAGAGAGGTCCGACACGCCCAACATAGGGCGCGGCCATTTTGAATCCTGTGACACAGTTTACACCTAAAGAATCAGATCGCTCACTCTGCTCGGCACTTTTGATCTCAATGTTTCAGTTTATACACTGTGCAACTCGGATAATACAAATTATGACAACCGCCTATAATAAAACAGTAGTCTTCTGCGTATCCTGAATTTGTATCCCTGGAGTGGATGTTATTTTGGAACTTTCAACTGGTCCGAGTGAGCTAACTGATTCTTTAGCAATAAACTGTGACTTCAAAAATAATATTCACTGACACTGACAGCTGCAAGCAAAATATCAGGTGCGTTTTAATCATCCGCTTCTGCTTCCGGAATTGTCGGTTTAGTCGTTTTAACCTGTCAGATTAAAACAAGAAAACCGACAATTCCGAAGCAGAAGCGGATGATTAAAACGCACCTATTAAAAATATTGCGCCAAGATGTAGGCAACACGTAATAAGGGTTCAAAATGGCGGAGTTTTCTATCTCCTTTTAAAAGGCACTCAGAAAGCTGCGCAGTGCGACCATTCTCCGTATAGTAAAAGAAAATCAAAGTATGTGTTTTAATCATCCGCTTCTGCTTCCGGAATTGTCGGTTTAGTCGTTTTAACCTGTCAGATTAAAACAAGAAAACTGACAATTCCGAAGCAGAAGCGGATTATTAAAACGCACCTACTAAAAATATTGCGCCAAGATGTAGGCAACACGTAAAAAGGGGTCAAAATGGCGGAGTTTTCTATCTCCTTTTAAAAGGCACTCAGAAAGCTGCGCAGTGCGACCATTCTCCGTATAGTAAAAGAAAATCAAAGTTAGTGACTCCAAGCAATTACCACTAGAGAGGGCCTTCCTCCCTTCACCGTGCTAAATTTTGTAATCAACATCTACTCCCCTCGAGGGGGGAAATCCCTCACCTGTAATTGGCTTATTCAATTAGCGTTGCCAAGTTTGACAGTGCCAGTTCTGATAATTTCTGACACATGTCAATTTTTGGATTGTTTCTTACGAAAAATATAATTATTTATAGCCTTGTAAGGGTTGTAAATGTATATATAAGATTTAATATTTATAATAATGTGAAAATAGGCTTTATGTGTAAAAGGCATGTTAAAAAGGCTTCATTATACCATAAGTAAGTACAAACACAAACTCTTGTTTGTTTACCTTCTTCCTTGTGCCCGCTTCCTCACATCCTCTATAGATGTTGCGGACACAGAAATCGCATACAAACTCGTTTTATGCTCCCTCTAGTATTAAATGCTTACGGTTTGTGTGTTTATAATTGTGTTTATGTTGCGATGACAGATGGACGCATTTAGCGATGCCTGACTGAAGGAAAAGTGTAATGAAAATGGCGACAGGAGCGGCACTCCGTAACTAGAAATATGAGAAAGGCAAGAGATCTTTTCTCTATCCCGACTTCTTTTGACGTTTTTCTACTCTGTAACTTTCTTCGACTACTTACGATTAAACCGAACATGTACGATTGTCACTGGGAAAGAGATCGCTAAGACCTCGTCGCTTAGGAATATGTCTCGCTTTAATGTATGGAAGGGGTATAACTCTTTCTTTGTTTATATTAAGAACTTGATTTGGCAGTTTTGTTGTGACATTTTAAGTTTATTTTTATGTGGATTGTCAGTTTGAAATTAATCAATAAACAAATTCTGAACTAAATCTTTATTTAGTCTAAATAATTCTTTGAATCTAACATGAGGAAGGCCGAATGGATCACTTGCATCTCTCATTACCCTTTTAGCAATGCATAGTTCATATTTTTGTTGATCATTTTGGGCTTCTTGCATCACATGTCTTATGACAGGATTCATCTTAAAGTTAAAAAATAACTATTATATACAAATTACATAAATTTGTTTTCATTAAATAAAAGGTGGTATAATCTGAAATCACTTTTATTTTCTCCACTTACCTTTGAACACAGGGTCTGCTTTGAATTAGTGGTAAATAAAAATATTAAAAAGCAGTCGAAAATGAACTTTGATCCAGAATAATCAATAGTGTAATACTATTTTTAGAAATTCCACGTTCAAAACAAATCCAAATTTATGTTAAAAATTGGGTTTCTTTTTTATTTAATGTGTCAAATAGAAGTGAAGTCAACAGTTTTAGGACGAGTAATTCGTTATTTTAGAAATTTCTCTTCGCGACGGAAAATCCCAATTCACTCCGAATTAAATAAAGAAATTGCTACAGAGTACAAATTTCGATACGGAAAAAAAGAGAGGAGATTTTTTCTCTTCCCTTTCTCTTTCGTTCTCTTCATTGCAATTTGATACGGAGTGCCACTCCAGGGCTCTTTCCACATACTTTACTATACGGAGAATGGTCGGACGGCGCAGCTTTCTGAGTGCCTTTTAAAAAAAGATAGAAAACTCCGCCATTTTAATCCCTTATTACGTGTTGCCTACATCTTGGCGCAATATTTTTAATAGGTGCGTTTTAATCATCCGCTTCTGCTTCGGAATTGTCGGTTTTCTTGTTTTAATCTGACACTTTAGAACGACCAACGCAGAGCCCCGCATGCGCCAGCAGGGCTAGATACAAGAGGGTTTCCGCAGGGGAGCGTTTGCTGCCGCATCTGCACCTGCGAAAATTCATCCGTCGGCACGTTACCTTACACCTTAGATTGGGGGAGTTGGTTCGCGAGTTTAAAACAGATATGCAACAAGTATTAGAAATTAAAAATTAAAAAAAAAACCGACTTCAAAAACGTGCAGATGCCATCATCACATCTTAACCAAATTTATATGGGACCACCCCTGAGGTACCCTCTTACTAACAAAAAAAGAATCATATAAATCGGACAAGGTGGTAAAGCATTATCGCTAAACATACATAAAAAATGAAGAGTTTGAAGATTTTCTCATGGACCCAATTATTAGATTTTGACCAAATTTATATGGGACCACCCCTGAAGTAGTTCCTTTCTAACAAAAAAAGATTTATTGAAATCGGACACCGTGTTAAAGAATTATCGCTGAACATACATAAAAAAAAATATCGCGACGAATTGATAACCTCCTCCTTTTTTGAAGTGCCTTTTAAAAGGAGATAGAAAACTCCGCCATTTTAAACCCTTATTACGTGTTGCCTACATCTTGGCGCAATATTTTTAATAGGTGCGTTTTAATCATCCGCTTCTGCTTCGGAATTGTCGGTTTTCTTGTTTTAATCTGACAGGTTAAAACGAATTGGTGAAAAAAAGTACCTGAGTACAAGTAACATGAGTGACAAAAAACATCAAAGCAAGTTTTACGTCGTTTCAGATTGTAAAATAGGATAAAAATCAAATGTAAAACTAAAGAAAACACAAGAAGAAATCAATTCAATGTCTTTTTAAAGCTTTTAATGTAAATAAAATAATGTATTCATGTCTAAATATAATATTTATTGTAAACTAGTCACAATATGTATCTTACGAAGTATAGTTTATTTTATTATAAATTTCTATAACATAAAATTTTACAGTTATAGATGCCGACTTACAAACAACAATAATTATGCATTAAATTTAACTTACTATAAAAGAAAATTTATTTTTTATAGAGTTTTAATGTTAAAGAAAGAGTTGCTACTGTTATTGTTTTTTGACTCCAATTGTGTCATTGTAAATGTTTTTTATAGGATACTAAACGTTTAGAACAGTGGCAGCATATATATCATTCCTAGTGCCGATAAAGTACTTTCTAGAAATGATGCTGTTCTATACTTTTTAGAAGATATAAAATATTATGAGACTATTTTTACTGATGGTACTGTTAGCAAAATAAAAAGGGGAAAGCTGAAATTAAAGGATGAGGTAATACCATGTACATTCCCAAATCTCCCTTTATACTTGTATTACAACAATAAAAAATCTGTTAACTGTGTTTTATTTTACTCTTAAAACTATATATTGGTTCAATTAAAAAAAAAATTGCCACAAAATTGTACTTATCAAATTTCAGCAATTAAGAAACCTTTTCGAATTTGGTCATACATACCTAATTTGTATTTTATATAGATAAAATTTATCAATTAAAACAGGCCGACTTATTTAGAAATAAATACGACAGTATGTTCTGTGTTTTATTTAGCTGTAAACAAGTTTATTTTTATTATTTTGACAAAATTATGTATAATTCCCATAAGAATCCATGTATTTGAACAACGTATGCAGTACCAGCACCCATGCGGTTAATTATAGAAGCTCAATTAGCATGCGTTTATTTGGGACCGTATTTTGAGTATGCCGATTCGTCTCTTTATATCTAGTCTTCATACACATATCAATGTGACTTTCATTTCAACATGATGCGGTTTTGGTCATTGAGATAGAATAAAGAGGAGATGCTACGACGATACTAATGTGTCCACACCTTTGCATTATATTCTTAAGTCATGTGTCAAACTCAAACTAGTGAAGCTAGTCAGTTTTGATGTTTTTTTAAAATACCTTCATTCAAATGATATAAATACATTTCCTTTCAGCCACTCTTCAAATATAAAATTATTTACTTCAAATAAAACAAAGTACGCCTCTAAGCCGCCATTTTAATGGGCTCGTTCAGCCGACGCAAGAGTTGAGTATGGTGACTTGTTGGGTCTTCAGAACGTCTATTGTTGAGTTTTGGTTAGTTTCAACCGTTGCTCAACATTGGTACCAGGAAAATTCTATGGTGACTTTTGTAAACGAAGTATTGTACTCAGTGTTGCAAACTAAAGGAATTTTTAATTTAGAGATTTCTAGTGTTTTTATTGATTTTTAACTACTCTATGCCAATAAAGCTGATTATATGTGGTTATTACATCACATTTTTTAACTGTGAACATGAATTTTGTTGTTATTTAAATTATAAAGTTAAACCATGATGAAAAATGTCCGTTATGACCATATACTTTGATTACTATACGAGGCAAGAGAGAGGTCCGACACGCCCAACATAGGGCGCGGCCATTTTGATTCCTATGTTTATAGCTAAAGAATCAGATCGCTCACTCTGCGTCGGCACTTTTGATCTCAATGTTCCAGTTTATCCACTGCGCAACTCGGATAATACAATATATGACAACCGCCTATAATAAAACAGCATTCTTCTGCGTATCCTGAATTTGTATCCCTGGAGTGGATGTTATTTTGGAACTTTCAACTGGTCCGAGTGAGCTAACTGATTCTTTAGCAATAAACTGTGACTCCAAAATTAATATTCACTAACACCCACTCAAAGTATGTGCTAACACCACAAACTTTGATTACTATGCGGTACAAGAGAGAGGTCCGACACGCCCAACATAGGGCGCGGCCATTTTGATTCCTATGCCACAGTTTATAGCTAAAGAATCAGATCGCTTACTCTGCGTCGGCACTTTTGATCTCAATGTTCCAGTTTATACACTGCGCAACTCGGATAATAGAATATATGACAACCGCCTATAATAAAACAGCAATCTTCTGCGTATCCTAAATTTGTATCCCTGGAGTGGATGTTATTTTGGAACTTTCAACTGGTCCGAGTGAGCTAACTGATTCTTTAGCAATAAACTGTGACTCCAAAAATAATACTTACACTGACAGCAGCAATCAAAATATCAGGTGCGTTTTAATCATCCGCTCCTGCTTCCGGAATTGTCGATTTAGTCGTTTTAACCTGTCAGATTAAAACAAGAAAACCGACAATTCCGAAGCAGAAGCGGATGATTAAAACGCACCTATTAAAAATATTGCGCCAAGATGTAGGCAACACGTAATAAGGGTTTAAAATGGCGGAGTTTTCTATCTCCTTTTAAAAGGCACTTCAAAAAAGGAGGAGGTTATCAATTCGTCGCGATATTTTTTTTTATGTATGTTCAGCGATAATTCTTTAACACGGTGTCCGATTTCAATAAATCTTTTTTTGTTAGAAAGGAACTACTCCAGGGGTGGTCCCATATAAATTTGGTCAAAATCTAATAATTGGGTCCATGAGAAAATCTTCAAACTCTTCATTTTTTATGTATGTTTAGCGATAATGCTTTACCACCTTGTCCGATTTATATGATTCTTTTTTTGTTAGTAAGAGGGTACCTCAGGGGTGGTCCCATATAAATTTGGTTAAGATGTGATGATGGCATCTGCACGTTTTTGAAGTCGGTTTTTTTTAAATTTTTAATTTCTAATACTTGTTGCATATCTGTTTTAAACTCGCGAACCAACTCCCCCAATCTAAGGTGTAAGGTAACGTGCCGACGGATGAATTTTCGCAGGTGCAGATGCGGCAGCAAACGCTCCCCTGCGGAAACCCTCTTGTATCTAGCCCTGCTGGCGCATGCGGGGCTCTGCGTTGGTCGACTTTTCCTTCCTTAGCTACTTCTGGGAACCATATGGATACACAAACACAAAAACAGCCCAAAGAGGCTGGACGTCAACGCTCACCTTTAGTAAAGGAGACTTGACACCAAATTCCAACTCCGGCGCAGGAGGCTGGACAGCGACGATCACCTCAAAAAAGTAGTTTTCTACGTCAACGTTCACTTCCTGCAAAGGATCCTGGACAACAAAGTTTAGCTCCCGCAAAGGAGGCTGGACAGCGACGCCCACCTTCAAAAAAGGAGGATGGACACAGTAGACTAACAGGCCCCGGAGAGGTAACAGAATCTCTGGGTCTGAAGCAAAGAGGAGGAAGAGGGATAAGCTGCAGGCAGGCAGTGTTACAGCAACGGCCACCCTTAGTAAACTCCCTCACTCCAAACAAAAGCGGCTTAATCAAGCCCCTAGACAGCGACGCTAGTTCTGCCTCCACAAAAGGCCAGGAACACGACGTAACTAGAGACAAGAAAAGACCGCGATCTCACACCTCTTCCAAGATAACGCCACGAAAGTGGAAAAACACGTTAATGTTTACCCGTAAGCATTTATAACATTCTCAGAATATGAGGTACATGCTAGGTATATGACTTTTAGTATCTTCTAAGAATGTCCTGTTATAGCACGTGCTTAGTATATACTTTCTAGAATATATTTTCAAAGTATATACTAGGTATATTCTTAGAACATTCTAGAAAGGACATACTAAAAAGAACACGAACAGAACGTTCTTAGTATATTCATAGAACATTGATGTTATGTGGAAACAATTTCGGATAAATGGAAATTTCTGAGAAGCAGAAGTACCACTGATCCAGGTACATTGATTTTGTACGTTAGACATGCACAGGAATCATAAAAGTAACAAAAACGTCTTTTAGTTGCAATTAATGTATGTCGGGGCATCCTTGTTACAATATTAAGTCGACGGACTAAGAAAAGCATAGCTAGAGCATCGATTGCTATAGAAGCAGAAAGTAGGGAGATATGCAAGGGTTTTGAAAATGTACACTGGCAATCTAATGTTAATACAATTATTAACAAACTTGTGTAATCTTTGAAAACGAGAATATTGGTGGAGGTGGTGGTAGTAATACCGATAGGGGTATTTTCTTGAATAGAAAATATTCAGCATTTTCTTACTATGTAACAATTAAAAGAAGACTCACTTGTTTGTAGATGAACAATACATCTATTTTAGTTAAAAATGTAATAAATACATATAACCATTACAAAAATAAAAAGTTTGTTCATAGGCATGGGGACTATAAGCACAGCTTTAAAAATATTTTAAAACCACTCATCTCTATTTCAAGATGCACTCTCAATTATAAATTTGCTTCAAAGAAGTTTCTTGTATATTATTTAAAATAAATAAACGTTTCTTTTATATTTGTCGCCTCAAAATACCAAGATGTAGGCTACCAGTTTAACATTTCAAAAAAATGTGTTGCCTAACCTAGTAGTAATTGCATCAAAATGGCCGCGCCCTATGTTGGGCGCATCGGACGTCTCTCTTGCACCGTGCAGTAATCAAAGTATGTGCCATATACAATTTCGTTTTGCATATTTTGTAAACAAGATGCAGGGACGGTTTAAGAACATTTTGTGCAACAATTATAAAATAGTGCATTATCAAAGTACAAAAAATCACAAATATAAGCAGGTTAATAAAGAACTGACGCCAAAACAAAGCTGACAATAGCCACAACACAAACAAAAACAAAGGTGAACATGAACACAATAGCTGAACAAAGTCAAGCCTGCAATTTGTCATTTACGTGCGAAGATGGTACCTTATCATTTTACCCTTTCTACTTCTTTGAATCAACTAGATTGAAATGTCAGACTAAAATTTGTTGCGAAAATATCATCGTCAAATAGATAGGCTCGGCGGAAAGAGAACAGCCTATTATTAAACTTGCCTGCGTAGTTAGAATCTACTTGAATTCGTTGTTGATTTAAGTTTTACATAAAATGTATAACAAAAAAAAATGTAGTACTTATGTCATTAATTATTATGTATGAAACCAATGAAATTTTTTTAAATAATTTATTTATAAAAAGGAAAATAAATATTTCATAAAAAATCCTAAATTATCAAAAATATTCGTATTTTGAGGTAACTATTGCGGTTCTTGATACTTTTCTCCTTGATAAGGTGTGACCCTGTATAAATCTTCGTTGATGCTGTATAAGTTTGGTGTAGCTGCACAATCTACATTAAACCACCAGTCACATACTCTGGCATATTGATTGAACACAGTACCGTTTGGACATAGAAAGCTGAATTTTTGCCCATTTGGTAAGCACCAGTGCCACACCTGTAATAATAAAATAATTTAACAAAACAACAAATATACTGAGTTTATTATGTTTATATTTATTTTTTTTCTTATATTGGGCAAGACCTGATGAAAATAAATAATTATTATTGGTGGTTCCAATTGTCAATAGAATGATGCGTATGCAACTAAAAATATGAGTAAGTAATATTGGTTGCTTAAATGTCAGTAACATTTAAGCTTAACCAAAACACAATTTTAGAGATCTACTTATGTTAATTTTAAATATAGTAGACAAGTATTCATTTATTTTTTTTTAAATGATTTTCCATCAAGTAAATAGACGACTTAAACACGTCCAATACGGTTTGTCTTCAAGACGTACAAAACTGGATGTCTTAAAGACGTACAAAATTAAATGCCCTAAAGACGCCTTGTTTTGTAACAAAGTACGTCCTATAGACGCCTTAAAAACATCTTTTGGATATTAGCGTAGTTATTCAAAACGTCACGAACGTCGTGAACAAACGTATTTAAGATGTCTTTAAAAAGTGTCTGTGCTATCTGGGTAGTGTCATTCTTTATTAATTAAAAATAAATCTTTTTGTATTACATGTAGATCAATAAGTTTGATTTTGTGGAATTTAAAAAAAAACTCATTTTATTATATAAACGATTTTATTTAGTTATTTTAATATATGTTTTTCTTGTGTCTTGTTTATTGATATTTATTTATTTTAAATTTTACGCTTTGAACTTGCTTTATACCTAAAAAGATCATTGAAGTACTAATAACATAATTACAAGTTCGTTTTTTTATTTCCAACATGTTACGCCTTTGTTCAAATATCGTTGGTGTCAAAATAGCACAAGATTTTCAGCGACGTTATGAGTCCTTTCTTTATTACCTAGTCTAAGGTGTTTACCGAGTATAAAATTGATAAACGACATATTTCCACGAGGAAGCAAAGGCCACTTTCCTGTCTGATTTGTCTCAAATTTCTGATTCTTTTTATCAGTTGTAACTTTGAGACGTAAATTCATTAAAATATCCTTAATTAAAACTATATTTGAATAGTAACATTTTTAAATAAAATTAACTAGTAAAAATATTAATAAAAACACATTTAAAACTCAAATATCTTAAAAAATATTCTAAGAGCACAACTGGCCTCTTACACATTTCTTCAGAAAGCAACATTTTGTTGACTGCAGAATTATATCTTATTAGGAAAAAGATTATTAAAAAAGAAGCACTAATACTAAATATAAAACGAGTATAAATACCCTTTCTGAATATTTTGTCCAGTTTAATACTTAATCATAACACTAATACAAATACTAAAAATAAGGGAGTATAAATAGACCATAAATGAAACACTGTTCCCATTTTATGATACACCTGGCACAGTTTAGAAATCGGATCAATTTCTGTCGTAAATTCTCAGTAAACCTGATGTCCTGTAAACAGTTATGTATAAGAGATTTAATTATTTTAATGGATTATAAATTTACTTTGATGTATACTGGGTGGGTCTAAACTTGAGGTTAGAAAGATCTCGCGTAAAGAACTGTTAAAAGATTTAAAAATGAAATTAACACCATAAATTTCAATTGCTTACTTGGCACTGTGCTTCGGGATCACTATAATATCCAGGTAGTCGTTGATCACACCTGAATGAAAGACCCTGTGGAATTTCGTGATATATGGGGTAGTCTTCTCCAGGTATGTAGCCATCGATTTGCTGTAAAGACAATAGAAATGAAAATTAGAAAGCCATATATGTTATTTTTATATTTAAATAGTTTGCAGCCATATAAGGTATGTTAACGAACATTTATGATTAATAATAGTTTCTTAAATTGTCTATTTCAAAGAAATAAATTGCAACCTATAGGAATTTTTAAAGGATAACAACAACATTCCTAAATTTTACTGAAATATTTTTCTATAGTTAAGAATGAATTACTATAGTAGTAGTAATAATGCAGGGTTCGGTTGGTCTAAAAATTATTTATTCCTTAGGGAAGAACCGTAGAAGATGACGCACCTAAGCAGGTTACCCTTTATTTATGGGCAAAAATAAATTCAGGTACTTTGAATGTCATGGGTCTTTAACTAGTACCTTTGTGCAACTGTTTGTTAGGTTTGTATCAAAGTACGATAAAATACACTATATTTTACACAACTTTTAAAAAAATACCCATTTGCGTCATCTTACCCTCTACTGAGGAAAAGATGACGCACGGTAGTGTGGCTAAGATGATGCATGTGTGGAAGTTACAAAATAAGTTATTTGAGGAGAAACTACTAAATAACTAAAATACTAAGATTACCGAAACATTACAATTATTTATACATTAGGAACAAAAATCGCAAATGTAATTTTCAGAACTTCGGCACCACTGGAATCTTTATGAACCCAATGTCCACAACTTGTACATCTAAACCACGTTTCGATTTTTTTTGCTGAAGTCTCCACATATTATGCATATGTCAGATTTTGTTTCTTCGTCGCTCATGTCGTCCAATTCATCGTCATCACAAAGTTCATTTCGTCAAAATTGCTTTCTTCAGTACTGCTGTCCTCCATAATTTTTTTAGTATTCTTTTTCCTCGTTGTTGCATCTTTTACAAATATTTTTTTTGTTGCCTTATTCTTAAGTTCTCCCATGTTTGACATTTTTTAATTTTTCTTTATCTCTTTCATTTCCAAAACATCTTTTAACGGGATACTTATGAGTATCTCAGAATGTTGTTTTTGTCGACCATGTGTTTTTTTTTTAATTTTTTTAGTTGGCACGGGAATAGAGAAAATAAGATTCGTTGATGCAGGTTTGCTGAATTTCATTTTGGGGAGTTCTGTGGCTTTGTGGAGACTGTTTGCTAGTCGATGGCTGAGGCGATTCTAGTTCTCTTCTGGAAGATTGAGTTGCCGTTTGCGGTGAAGTTTCCTGATCTACAGGTGATCTTAGAGATTTAATGTACAAATCAGAACTGTTCAAATTATCAGCAGCGGCAAAGTCATCCTCTGTGAACTTATCACAGTTTAGTGGGAATCCGGAAAGTCCCTTTTTAATATTTGCAATTTGGTCATAGGCTAACTTAAAAATTTCGGCAACATTTTCTAGCATGAGTAACATCGGATTATCGGGGTTTCACAATACTTTTTTTTTAAAATGTTTCAGTCATAAAGAAAACACAGATTCATTGCTCCATCCATTATTTGTACAGGTGTAAATAGCACCCTTAGGCCTATTCTTTTGAAGCTGTGTGCTCATTCTCTTCCTAGGAAATACAAATAATGGTGGGATGTAACTTCCAGTTGCACTAAACTCACAAATCACTGTAATGTTTTTTCCACATTCCCAAGAAGAAATTATTCCAAACTGCTTTATGCCTTTAGTTCCAATTCTTTTGGATAATTCTTTAGGAACCGTAGATATACCGCTTTCATCTACATTGTAAATGCGATCTGGGAGAAACTTATATTTTTCTTGGACTTCTTGTAAGTTTTTAAAATAGCGTTCGACTTTTCTGTTTTATTGAACGCTGTTATCCTACTCACACTTGTAGATTCGGGTTTTCTTAAAGATATTTGTGGGTTTTTTTTATAAAACCTTGGAACCAGTCCGGACCTGCTATTATTTTGTCCTTGTTAAAATTGTGTTTAATTTTGTTCGCTTCTGCATAATTGAAAACCATACTTCTTAGTTCTATGGAAGTAATACCAAAAAACAAATTTGCCAAACTTAGAACGTGATCCACAATCTCATTTTCTTGAGCTACTGAAAACAGTAGGGCTATACCAAGCGATTCAGATTCGACTTCTTTCATTAAATTTTTAATTTTAAGTTATCGTCTCAACGTACGAGGTAAGCGCCAATAATTCCCGGCCTGACATAGTTGCAGATATTTTATCAGGATAAAAGTTTAACATTTTATAACTACAAACCTTAGTAGGCTGTGGTAACAAAATAAGCGACTTACATCAAATAGTTTTTAATTGTCAGCATTTTGAACTAAAGTATCTCCGAAAATGTCTCAGGTGACGAAAATTGAGTACAGAGCGGTTATTAAATTTTTAACAAAAGAAGGGCTTACATCTAAAATTTTTAACGAATGACTCGATGGCGTATATGGCCAAAGTTTCCCTTCCTATTCGGTAGTGAAGGAATGGGCAAAACGTTTTCGCATGGGTCAGGAATCCCTTGAAGATGACGAAAGACCTGGACGGCCAGTGGAGGTGATAACGGAAGACAAAGTGGACCTTGTGGAAAACCTGGTGCTAAGTGACCGACGTTTGAAGGTCAAGGAAATGGCAGAAATGACCAAGCTTTCTAATACCACTGTTCGCCGAATCCTCCATGATCATTTGGGTATGCATAAGGTTAGTGCAAGATGGGTGCCCAAACACTTTTCGGCGATTCAGAAGCAACGTCGTGTCGTCTGCTCGATCGTTTTTGGAACTGTGTGGAGATGATCCGAACCCCGTGTTGGAAACAATAGTCACTGGAGATGAAACTATGGTTCTTTATTATGATCCTTTGTCGAAAAGGGAATCAATGCAGTGGCGCCGTAAGGGTGAAGCCCCCCCATGAAAATTTAGAGTCTGCCAATCAACGAAAAAGGTGATGGCTACGATCTTTTGGGATTGTGAAGGAATCCTTCTGATTGATTTTAAAGAGACAAATACCACCGTTAATGGCACATATTATGCCGCATTACTTCATAAGTTGCGGGAATGTATTCGGGAAAAACGTCGAGGAAAATTAACCAGAGGCGTGCGGTTGTTGCACGACAATGCGCCCGTTCATACTGCTGGCGTTACACAAGCTGCCATCCTAGATTACGGGTTTCAAAATATAGATCACCCTCCTTATAGTCCAGATATGGCTTCCAGCGATTATTATTTGTTTAGTTATTTGAAAAAGGACCTTCGCGGGCGACGTTTTCGGGACGATTTTGAGTTACAAGAAGCTGTTTTGGCCCATTTTGAGGATAAACCGAAAGAATATTTTTTTTAAAGGGATTGAATTGTTAATTAAACGTTGTAAGAAGTGTATTGAAGGAAGATTACATTGAAAAATAATAAAAACTTGTTGTTGTACTTTGCCTCCTTCATTGTCAGGCCGGGAATTATTGGCGCTTACCTCGTAGCTTCGTGTATTTCAAACGCCCTCGCAACTTCACGAATTTTACGGCCATCTTCTACGACTGCATTCAAAGCTGCATTAGGTGCTTCTGCCGAAAACGATCATCTCTGCGTTTTCTGGTATATCTCTCCCGTAACTAAATAAGAAACGGAAGTTTGAAAATGCATTATAGGTACTAAATAATATAAATATATATGTGAATACGTCAAAATATTTGAATTTTACTAAAACTGGCAATTTTGGATTGTACTGGCATCAAGGTCTTGAAGTTTGTCTCCGCAGCTGCTTTAAAAACATTAAGAAAAACCCTGAGATATCTATAAACATCAATATAGATGAACTACCTCTTCACAAGAGCACAAATAAACATTTTTGGCCTATTTTATTTAACATCCATGAGTATACAAACATTCATCCAATGGCTATTGGTACATTTTATAGAGATTCAAAACCTGATAATGCCAAGGTTTATTTAACTCCATTTGTTGAAGAAATTATACTACTACTACTACAAAATGGCTTGAAGATCAATAATAAAACATTATGTATTCACATCCGTTGTTTTATTTATAATAGTCCAGCAAGAGCCTTTATTAAGGGTTTAATAATTTTTTTTAATGTTATAAATTGATAAAATTATATATTTATTCTCATTTTAGGGTGGGTTATCCCCACGGAACTTAGGCCTCATTAGGCCCAGTATGCATCCTCCTGAGATGATAGGCACCTCCTAGCTTGTGAGCCAGCCTACAGATTTTATGTAGTTGACAACGTCGCCAAGAGGTGCTTCTCTTATATCGGCCGGTGTTAGCCGATACTCGCCGAACACAAATCTTCTAATAAATGAGAGCGTCGGACAATCGTAAAGTATATGCTCGATGGTCTCATCTTCTTGTTCGCACCCTCTGCAGAGTGCGGATTCTGACAGCCCCATGATATGGAGATGCTTCTGTACTTGGCAATGACTAGTCAGAATGCCTGTGACTAGGCGCAGATTCTGTCTAGTCATAGTCAAGTATTTGTTTGCTGCAGTGTTGTCAGGATAACTTAAGAGCCCCCTGGCAACTCTGCAGTTTTTGTTTTATCCCATCTTTCCTTGAATTTCACAAGGGAATGTTCTTTGATTAGGTCTGTCACTACCGATTTTGTCAGGCCAATAGAAGGGTCAGGTCCAAAAAATATTTGGTTGGCTGCTTTCTTGGCTAGTGAATCAGCAAGACGGTTACCTTTCGATATGGCGTGACCTTTGATCCATCTTAAGGTGACCACATTGTTGATAGATACTTCGGCCAAAGCTTCGTGACATTCTAGTACTAACCCTGAGTAAATTCGTGGTCTGTTCAGGGCGAGTAGTGCTTGTCTGCTATCTGTATAGATGAGCATGTTCCTTCCAGTGATATTGTTTCTGGTTATTTCTTTTGCTGCTATGAGAATACCCGTTAGCTTTGTTTAAACTACACTGGCACTATTGCTTACAGCCCATTTTATGTTTAGGTTTAAGAATCTGGAGTATATTCCACATCCTGAGCCTTGGTTTGTTTTAGAACCGCCGGTGTAGATATGAATCGTACCTGCCACGTCCGGCTCT